CCTCCTCGCTCGTTTCGGGTGAAAACTGGCTGAGCTTTCGTCCATCACATGATGAATTCAATTAAGCAAAAGAAGATTAAAAACCTAGACAGATATAGTGTGGTTTGGCTAATTATCTTTCACACTGGTCCTGTTAATTTTGCTCGAATGTGTGCAAGTGTGTGTCTGTGTTGACGTCTATATGCAATACCGGTCCTAAATCAGAGTGACCAAAAAGGATGATGTCAGGCTATGGCCATCAATGTTTAATGAACCAAGAGAAAGCCCTGACCGAGACTGCGTAAGTCCGTGAGAAGTATGGTTGAGATAATGAGACGTGAGCTTGTAAGCATGTAAGTCAAGTTACGAAACCACTTGTCCTAACCTCTCAGTCTAGGGTCATTAACGCTTAACCCCTCAAGGAAAGGCAAGACTGGGGTTGCGTCGTCTGACATGTCTGGTTTGGTTGATGAGCTTAATCCAACATGTTGGACAAATGTGAGTGAAATGAGAACCATCACTGTGCAGACGAATTGAGTTGCTTTCTTTTTGACTGCGGCTCAAAACCCAATCTCTCTTCTTCAATGTATCAATCAAGCATAAGTAGTTCCTACTCAACTTTCTACCTGCGTTCCTCACATTCAATGTATTTCCTAAGCTATTAATTTCAATTGCCTCTCTTATCTTACATTTCGCCACAGACGTGCCATAATCAGCAAACCTACAAGTTTGAGACCATTCTATCCCACGTCCAGTCTCTTTCATGCGTTCGGTCACTTCTGACGGCTTGACTCAGCTCCTTTTACAGGCATTTTTGTGCTCTCCCAATCTTTGTCGAACAGGTCGGCATGTCTCACCAACATAACATCGGCCACAGGAGCAAACAATCCTGTAGCCGCCGGATCTCGATAATGGGTCATCTTTGTCTCTAAAAGATGACATAATCGAAGAAAGCCTGACGATTTCTGCAAGCACTGTTTTTATCCTCCAATTTCACACTAGTTCTCCTATCTTATTTGAACGAAGGCATGACGACAAAATCAGGACATGAAAAAAGGTCTCCTCTTGTTTATCTTTGACTATATAGACTCCGTCTGAAAATTTATTTATTAATGAGATATTATTAACAATTAGGCCCAAAGGATAATTAGTTGTCAGGACTACCTTCTTCAGCCATTTTAACTCTTTAGTTGAATGGTTGCTATCCCCTAGTCTCATAATCCTAATAATCATTGACTTCAAAATTCCAACCTTAGTTGTATGACTATGGTTGGAAAAAAGTTCAGAAATGAGTCAAAATAAGTTCGCTTCCTATAAACAACCCTTCCTAACTTAACCTTTTCTCCAATGACCATAAAATCCATAAAGCGTAAGGACCTAACCTCTTCTATTTCCATCGTGAACCTAATGTTGCTTTCACGTTGGCTAAGTGAAAGTAGGAAACCACAAGGCCAGATGACAAAATAGTCATCCATGTGTCTAACCCACAATTTGTAAGTTATATTACCACATCTAAATAGTGTTTCTCACGTGTGGCCATATGGTTGTTCGCTAAGACGGGATATAAACAAAATCCCACCAAAAGACCTTGCGTCTGCTCATAAAATTTGCTATCAAAGGTAAAATAGTTGATACTCATGGATAGGTTTAGAAGTCTAATAATGGAGACTATACTAAACCTTTTTCATTCTATGATCTCTGGATGTTCCTCCAGAGTTTGTACTATAGCCTAAATGGCTCCTTGAACAGGACTCTTTGTGTACATAGACACAACATCAGAACTTACTAGCCTATCCTCCTCTGAAGGCATCTGCTGATCAATCAATTTCACAAACTCATACGAATTTTTAATTGAATAAAGCCATAAATCCGCAGCATTTTCTAGTTGTATGTATAAACAAAGTTAGATTTTATGCATCATGCTTTCTTAGATATTTACAATTATTCTAAGAGGGACAGCCCCTTTGTGAACCTTAGTGAGACCACAGGCCGTGGGGGCCCTAGAGTAGTGAATTCATTTTTCAATTCTCAATTTCACCATTACTAACACCATGGATCATTAAGCCTTGATGATCAGAGTATGTCATTAGCCTTTTTGATCACTCTGATTTAGGACTGTTATTGTGTATAAATAATACCACACACACATACACACACACACACACACACATATATATATATATACACGCACACATAATCGAGCGAACTTAGCAGGACCAGTATGAAAGAAAATTAGCCAAAACATCCTGTATCTATCCATGCCTATTTATTTTAGTTTTTAGTTATGAGTATGTATAATAGGTAAGATAGAGCCAGATATTTTTCTTGATTTAGTGTCAGCGCTAGACTTTTACAAGATTGGGCTCCAGCTCTGATGATGTCCATCATATGATGGACGAAATGTCATCCCGCTTTCACCCGAAGCGATGGAGGACTGCGTCAACCTGAGCATCGTATTAAAGCGAAATGGCTGCAGTACAACGGGATTCAGACGTCGTCTTCTTCTTCGTGCACTTTCATACGAAATGAAGGTCTCTCCAACAAAGCCGGGATTATACGCTGCACAATCGCGGTTCGAGTCCCTCGGGGGTGCTGATGAGACCAGTTCAGGCGGGGTCAAACCTGCATTCCACTCCAGTCTGGATACATTTTGAAGAACAAGGCTATGTGAAATTCAATAAAAACGTCAGCCTATTCATATTATTGTGTGAAAATAAAACTTCCAGTTCTTCATCACATTGAACGAAATAGAGTGAATACATCTCATATACATAATCTCCTTAAATCGAAGGTATGAAGACCAAGATGGTGTGGCCTTTTGTGTGGTCTCAGTCTCCTTCCGTTGTATATAAGTTGTTTGACCTTGTTTTCGCAAATCGCTCATGTTGGTAGGAAGACTTAGAGGAATGCACCTTGTCCAGAGTCCATTGTATGCATCATCATTTCCAGAGTAGGACC